TTTTACGCTATTCATACTCCCTCCGTGTTTTAATAAGTATTACACTTTTTTTTTTGGCAAAAAGCTACCTTTAAATATTATCTCTCTCTCCTCTCATGGTCCCCATCCAAACCCACTATTACTTTTTTTTTTTTTTTTTTATCATTATATACTTCTTCTCACATTCATTACTTTTTAATAAACTATTACCCCACTATCTTTCTTTTACAATTTTTTAATACTCCAACTACCCCACTTACCTCTTTTTTATTTAAGTAAATTATATTACCTAAATCTATATGTCGGTCAAATTGTAACACTTATTAAAACACGGAGGGAGTACATTATTAGCTTTGACTTATTTTTTTTAACTAATACTTGTATACAACATGTAAATGTTAACATGTATCCGTAGTATGTTATTGGATTAATCACAAATCTAACGATGTCTACTTTTATTTATTTATTTATTTATTTATTTTTTTTTTTTTTTTGTAATTTTACAAATATTTAATTAATGATGCGGATGGTCAAGGTTGTGTTTACAAATGTGCAAACTAACACAATTTTATCATAATTCACCCTACCATCCTTTTTATCTTTTAAAATATATAATATCCATTGGATTTTTTTTTCTTCAACTTTTCTATTTTCAGGTATATATGGTATTAATCCATAAGATAGCTAAGGTATGTACACTACATACAACTCTTAATTGGCAGAGGCAGAGCTAGTTTAAGTTAAATTTATGGGGTCAATTGAACACACTTAAACATACTCTCTCTGGTATATTTTAGGACGAATCTAACAAAATTGCGTATCACTATTTTTTCTAACGCATAAATCACAAAAGACGATCAAAGGAGTTTGTGTAAATAGTGTAAAATTTCAAATATTGTGATTAAAAAATGAAGTATGTTACAAACATATACTTCCTCTGCTTTTTATACTTGCAAGTTGCAAAACACCTTTAATCACGTTTTTTGAGAAGGGGATTAGACTAGGTGCATGAATGAATTAAGCTATGAAATTTAAACCGTAGCAACTTATCGATGGTAAAATTTTGTGAATTAATTTATCCGTTTACCTAGTCTAATATCTCCCTTAAAATGCGTGTCAAAGGGGTGTGTTGCATGTAAATAAAAACGGAGGAAGTAAGATTTTTAAAAAATACTAATTTAAAATTAAATTATTTAATATGAAAAATACAATATTCTGGTTCTGAAAAAGCTATCAGTTTAAAGTACACTTACTTATATTTTTCAACTATATATATACACGTAATATTTACATGCAATATAATATATATAATATGTAATATGAATTTGTTTAAAGTTCTAGGATTAAAACATATAAGACTCTTGGTGTGTATAAGATACATGATACTATACACACTAAGCCAAAAGTCCCTTTTTTCTCCGTGTGAAGTGGTCCTATATGTTATTGCAATTTTACATATTTAGCTTGCTTTATAATCTAAGTACCAAACATGTATTGTTCCTAATTATATATATACACACAAAAATGAATTGAACTCAAACTTAACCCATGACTTTACCCGCTCTCCCCTTCCTCGCCCTTTTTCGAACTACTTTGTCACATTTTAAAACCCTTCCTATCTTAACCTAAAATATATATCAAACCCTTATAACAAAAAATCGATATTTTTTTTCAACTTGAGTGTATACTAGACATTAACAAATGATCCAATTACAACAATCAAACACTTCAACATATTCCCCTCTCAAAAATCCATCTTGATGTACACCCAATCTCCCATCACTCACTAGTGATGGTGGTAGGAGTAGGTAGAAACAACACATTTTCACCCATACATGTTCACAACTGAGTTCTTAGTTGATACTGGTGGTAGCTTTACTTGGCTCTAAGCTCTTCCTAGCAATTTCTGCTTTGATCATCAAGGGGACTTCCCATGTTGTAACCGCTTTGCTTCCCAATCCTTTTATCATGTTTATTGCCAAGAAGTGACATGTGAAACAACACTAGCTAAGCTTTTTCTCGATATGGTGCCAAGTCATGGTTTTCATCAGAGTCAACCTCCTTGTTCCTACTAAATAGAATAGCTTGATCAATGTATCTCGAGTCGTGTCATATATGGGATCAATGAAATTTCACTTTCCTGACTCACCACCGTCTTTGTTTGGGTTAGAATTCATAAGAGTTCGTACCCTTTGGTGCAGGTACGTCCCCAACTCCTTCATTCATGCAAAATTGGCATATCTGTCCTTTGCGCCTCTCTATAGAATTGGATCTTCTCTAGGTAGGCTTCAAGTGCAACTATGGAACCTTACTTGATCATCAGCAAGGAGTGAAGAAATTCTTTCATTGTTTCCTAACCTCAAGAAGAGGATGACATGGGAATATTGAGTCTTGGTGAAGAAGCCAAGATTAAGAGAGTTAAATTGGCCTTAAATAAGAGATCAAGAAACTACGTACGTGGCTATCCTAACTAACGTGCATGTGTCAAAGGAACGACTTTTTATGGTATATAATAAAGTCTTTCCTACGATTATGGAATCCTTATTGGCGAAGACGAAGCTAATTTAACTTGAAATTTATGAGGTCAATTATATTGACCACACTCAATTATATTTAATTTTATAAATACACTCCCTCTGGTTTTTTAAAACTTTAGGATTTCATGCTTGCCAGATGTACATTTTTTAACTAAAATATATCTTAAGTTGTGTTTTAGTAATAATCATAAAATGTTGATATTATGAAAGTATACATTGGGATATATTTTTTCTAACGTATAAATCACAAAAGACGATCAAAGGAGTATGTGTGAATAGTGTAAATTTTTAAATATTGTGATTAAAAAAAATGAAGGAAGTATGTTATTACAAACATATACGATCACTAAAAATACTAATTTAAAATTAAAATATTTAATATGGAATATACAATATGCTGATTCTAAAAAATTTATCCGTTCAAATTACACATATTTAATTTATAAATATATATACACAAACTAATTATATGTAATGTAATATATAATATATGATTAATAATATATAATATAAATTTGTTTAAAGTTCTATGATTAAAAATATATAGGACTCTTGCTTGGTGTGTATATATAATATATTATATAACTTGTAGACTACTTCACCCGGAAAGGAAAAAGAAAAGGGACTCTTGGTGTGTATAGTATCATGTATAAGAGTCCTTTTTTCTTTTTTTTTTTTTTTTTTTTTCTCCATGTGAAGTAGTCTACATGTTATTTACAATTTTGTATATTTAGCTTTGTAATCTAAATCCAAACATTTATTGTTCCTAATTATATATAGATATACATAAAAAATAAACTTAAACTTAACCCATGACTTTGCTCACTCTCCCCTTCACCGTCTTCCTCACCCTTTTTCAAACTACTTTGTCACATTCTCAAACCCTACCTATCTTCACCCAAAATATCAAACCCTTATAAGTTATAACAAAAAACCGATATTTTTTTCAACCCGGATGTATAATAGACAACGACAAATCATCAAATTACAACAATCGAACACTTCAACATATTCCCTTTCAAAAATCCATCTTGATGTACATCCAATCTCCCATCACTCACTAGCTAGTTATGGTGTATGAGTAGGTACAAACAACACATTTTCATCCATACATGCTGAGCTCTTAGTTGACATCGGTAGTAGCCTTAGCTTACTTGGCTCCAAGCTCTTCCTTGCGACTCTGCTTCGATCAAGGTCAGGTGACTTCCCATAGTGTAACTGCTCTGCTTCCCAATCCTTTGATCATGTTTATTGCCAAGAAGTGACATGTGAAACAACACTAACTGATGCTTCTACTCAATGTGATTCCAAGTCACGATTTTCATCAGTGTTAACCTCCTTATTCTTACTATATAGAATATCTTAATTAATGTAGCTCGAGTGGTGTCATATATAAAATCAATAATATTTTACTCCTCTGACTCTCATCGTCTTTGTTTGGGTTAGAATTCATGGAATTCATATCCTTTGGTGTAGGTACGTCCCCAACTCTTTCGTTGGATCTTCTAGCTCTAGACAGGCTTCAAGCACGGCTATGGGACCTTACTTTATCGGCTAGGATTGAAGAAATATTATCATTGTTTCTCTTGAGAGGATCAGAGGATGACATGGGAATATTGAGTTTGGTGAAGAAGCCAAGATTAAAGGAGCTAAATAGGCCTTAAATAAGAGATCAACAAACTACGAGCCTATCTTAACTAACGTGTATGTGTCAACTGAACGATCGATACTTTTGGTGGTATATAATAAAGTTTTCACTACGACTATGGTGTTTGACACCAGAACATCTTTGACTAATCTATAGATAACGTCACAACGCGTTTGTGGTATTTAATTATCAAGAATTTTTACTTTCACAACATAATAATAATGAGCTTTGCTATAATGACTAAGTTATACAAGTATTAGTTTGGATGTGGTTGCTAATGTTGCTTTCGAGTTTAACTACTATACTAGGATTTATCTGCTCTCTTATATTATCATCTTTGGATTCCACATAAGAAATGAATTTGATTTGTTTAGAATTTGCTAGAGCATGCAAAATTTAATTTGAATATATTTGATAACATTTATCTAATGAAGGAGATGAATACAAGATTGGATATATAGTGGCAAATGCATGGTGTTCAAGTAGGGTCCCTAACCCCACTTAGCTTGGACCCCTCTTGAACTTGGAAAAAAAAAAAAAAAATCTTATAATTTTTTTTCTAATGAAATTGCTTATAGTTGTATCAAATGATCCCATTAAAATTTATCAAATACATTTTGATTCTATTAAATATATTTTCTAGATCCGTCACTGTATGAACATGACTTAGGCATGTGTTTTTATCATCAACATTGTTCAAAACTAGTTTAGGTGGCAATTTCATCTATATTTAATTATTAAAAAAAAACGTCTAAAATTGGACAATTTAAGCAAAATATAAAATTGTCTTTAAAAATTCTCATTTTTCTTTGGACAAGAAAGTAATAAACATAATGGGTGTTGTAATCTTTATACGATTATCTTTCTCTCTATTATTAACTTCTTGTCAAGAAAAAAAAGAAAAAAAAAAAGGAAAAGAAAAAAAATCCTCTCTCTCTCTAATCTCTATTAACTGATGGATAAAGATTTAGAAGTGAAAATCTGTTATCACTCACTCATACAGTCATATTACATCACTCATTTTGGAGAAAATTTAATTTAAACTAGCTGCAAACACTCATTTTGGCTTATTTTGCTGAAATTTATTATAGCCTTGAACCGTTTGAACTTTCCTAACCAATAATCTCCGTTACTTTCAGCCCTCCAAATGAGAAAAAATAATCATGTATGTTTAGAATTGTCAAAAGCTGATCAATACCAATCTACTAGTATAAATTTGTGGATATCCAAAACCCATCTAATCACTCACTATACACCTACTTACACTTTCTTTTTTCCTTGAAATTTTTGTAGCACATTACATGATGCAATTGTTGTCAATAGATTATGATATTGATAACATTATTATAGTTATCAAGTATGTTGCATTTTATCTGGCAACCTATTTCACACTTAAGCATACCATCCTACGTTCCAAGGTTAAGGGCAAATTGCCACCACGTCCATTCCTCTCAGTCCCTATTATAGGCCACCTCTACCTCTTTAAGAAGCCCCTCTATCGCTCCCTTGCCCGTTTGGCGGCCAAGTACGGCCCGGCCCTCTATCTCAGGATGGGGGCTCGGTCCGTACTTTTACTCTCCTCTCCGGAGGCAATTGAGGAGTGCCTTGTTAAGAATGACGTGTTTGTAGACCGCCCCCGGCTCCTCCCCGGAAAGCATGGGGGTAATAACTATACTAACATGGCATGGTCCCCTTATGGGAAACACTGGAAAAACCTACGACGGATTGCTGCCGTTGAGATCTTATCACCTCAGCGGTTGCAAATCCTGTCAGGGATCCGGACTGAAGTAGCCCGGTCCTTCATTCGTAGGATGATAAAGGATATCACTGAAAATGGCGGAATAGTGGAGATGAAATCCGCCATTTTTGGGCTCACCTTAGATAACATGATGAGGATGTTAATAGGGAAGAGTAACTACGTGGAGGCGAGGGGGGGAATGGAAGCTTCTAGAAGGTTCCAAAAAACTATGGAGGGTAGTTTTAGGGTGAGTGGAGTGAATAACTTGGAAGATTTTTTGCCAATTTTGAAGTATTTTAGGGTGTTTTTAGGATCACCTGAGGAGTTCATGAAGAAGTTAACAAAAGAAAGGAATACATTCATGCAAGGATTAATGTTAGAACATAGAGAGTTAGAAAGAGTAGGAAATTTATCTGATGGGAGAAAGAGGGCAATGATACATGTTTTATTGTCCTTGCAAAAGGAGGATCCTCAGTATTATTCCGATGAGATGATTGGAAGCCTCATTTTGGTATGTATTCTATGCAAACTTTTTGACCATTATCGATGCTAATTAATGCATCACAACATACTCACTCACACAATAATCACACGTGATAAATTGCCCCCTCTAGCTATCAAATTTAATTGTCACGACATTTTTAGTTAGATTGCACTATCCAACGTACAATTTAACTAAAATTAAATATGATGAAAAGGATTACATATTTAATTTGATTCTACTACATTCTTCAAGTTTGGCATACTTTGTTTCCACGATTGTGTTACTAGCTAGTTTGTAATTACTACCACTCTTGATCTTCATGATATGCATGCGAAATTCAACTCAAGTCAGAATATAATTGAAGAAAAGTAAGGCACCTTAAATTTGTTTCATGCATGTAACAGGCCTTATTTCAAGGTGGAACGGATACTTCAGCCGCAACAGTAGAATGGGTGCTTTCTCTACTTCTCAACAACCCCAAAGTCCTAAAGAAAGCACAAGAAGAAATCGACACAAACGTAGGAAACACTCGTTTAGTAGAAGAATCCGACAAGAACAACCTCCCTTACCTTCAATGCATCATAAACGAGACACTACGAATGTACCCTACCGGTCCCCTAGGACTCCCTCGTGAGTCTAGGGGTGATTGTTACGTAGGGGGATACTACGTCCCTAAAGGCTCTATGTTAATTTACAACATATGGGCGGTACACAATGATCCCAACATATGGGATGACCCGAGAAATTTCAAGCCAGAGAGATTTTTGGATCTAGAGAAAACTACATTAGGGTACAAGTTCATGCCTTTTGGTACCGGTAAAAGAGTTTGCCCCGGGGAGCACTTGGCAAATAAAATGATTTGGTTGGCCGTCGCAATATTGATCCAATGCTTCGATTGGGAACGAACTAGTAACGATTTAATCGATATGGAGGAAAGTGGTGGTCTTTCGTTAGTAAAACTCGTTCCTCTTTGTGTTAAGTGTGGTCTTCGGCCTTGTATGATGAACGTTCTATCTCAACTCTAAATCTTTATGTTCGTATTACACATATGAATGTATCAATGTCTAGAATAAATATCTGGTCCCTCTCGATGCATGATTGTCCTCCGTTTTGTTCATAGCATTGTCCAAGTTTAAGAATTTTCAACGTTATTGGTGGGGAGTTTTGTGACTTTTGAGACGCATTGTTTGCTGTCTAATCAATAAAATTTCATTTTTCAACGTTGTAATAAATTTGCTTTGATTTGACATGTTTATTTTAATATGTTTACCGATGCATATTTAGCTATAAAAACTTAAGAGTTTATGATCCAAACTCAGACTCCAGACTCCGGCATATCAGCTTTCCACTAACTTTTAATTACTTTTTTATTATTCAGACTTACATAAGGCTCTTTCCATTTTCACACATTATCCTAAGACTCATTCCAGACTTATTTATAAATCTATTTCTTTTATAATTATTCAACAACTTGTGATGAGTTGGCAATATATTATTGGGCCATGCAAAGTTTGTTGCCCTCACATGTATAGTCTTAAGATGAGTTTTCATCTACCAAATCGCATGCAAGACTCATGATAGTCTTTTATGACACTATGAGACTCCTCTTGAGACTCCGTTTCAGACTTATGATAAAGACACCCTTAGTATTCCCTCAATATATTTTGATGTTTGGAGAGTCACAAAAGCGTGTGATGAGAATCGATATCAAGATATTCTGAAATTGGGAGGAAAGCTCTAACCACTTGAGCTATTCTTCACTAGCTCTTCCCTCAATTTTATATTAATTGACATACATTATTACTAATGCATGTTTAATTATATAAAAGTATATATATAAGTGGTCATATTATATATTCATGCATTGACATGTGTGTCAAGTTTGAATGTGTCAACTATTATAGAACGAAAGAAGTAAAAAAAATTCATTTTTCTGATTAATATACCTATTACTATATATAGTCAATTTAAGTAGATTTCAAGGATAGTGTTAAAAGTTATAACGTGTCAACTGAAGGAAAAAAAAAAGGAATTGAGTATATAAAGAAAAGTTCAATACTTCAATGTATAGGATGGAGGAAGTGAGGAACTGAGAAAGTATTTTTTTTTTTTATTCCTTTTCTAGTATTCCGTACAAAGATAAAATGCAAGTAAAGAAAAATAGTCTTAGTTCAATACATGTATTAATGCAGTTTAGTTCATTTGCCCCAACTTAATTTCTTCCACAAGTATATTCAATTCTCGCTCCTTCCTTTCCTTTCTAAACTATTCATTTTTCCAATAAAAGCATAATATAAACACAATAAATTACATTATACACCTATGAACAACTGGTGTATTGCACAGACCAAAAGACTAGTATATAATAAAATACATTATCACTTGCGATCTTATCAGTTATGCTTTGACGATTGCCTTCAAACTATCTTTGTTTTCATACTCCTTTGGTAAATATAATACTACCTTCTTTAATTATTATCTGCTACTTTTGAATTTTTTATATCTCTCAAATAATACCCCAAAGTTGCAGATAATAATTAACGGAGGTAGTAAAAAATAATTTGGCCTCATTTGAATTTTCATGGTCTTCTACATGTCTTAAAGCATAAGAAATATTCATCTTTATTTTCATACGTATATAATTTATTAATCTTGAATTTAATAAAGGGTAATGCTATATGCAGTCCTTAGGTGCATATACACATTTAATATACTTCCTTTTTTAATATTAAGTTGTGAATTTATCAACAATTTAAGAGTAAATCGGTGTAATAAAAGTTTATTTATTCTTTTCACTTTTAACTTCTTTGCCTTCTTATATGCAATCTGCATATATTGTTTCCCTTTAATAAAATATGCAACGAGACAGATTTAACAAGATATGACTGCATTATCTGTTATGGAAATTTATGATCAAAATATTAAATGTTAACCCAAATACTCCCTCGGTGTTTTAATAAGTGTTACACTTATTAAATGCGGCCGTGTTTTAATAAGTGTTTCACTTCCTTTTATGGCAAAAAGCTATATTTTAATATTATATCTCTCTCCTTTCATGGTCTCCACCCAAATCTTCTACTACTATTTTTATTATTTCTCTTCTCTCACATTCATTACTTTTCAATAAATTATTAACCCCACTATCTATCTTTTACAATTTTTTAATACTCCAACTACCCCACTTATCTCTTATTTTATTGAAGTCAATTATATTGCCTAAAACTATGTGCCGGTCATAATTTAACACTTATTAAAGGACGGAAGGAATATTGGCAATGAAAAAAAAAAAAAAAACTACTCCGCAGTACACAATTGAAGATGATGACATACAGTACAAAGTATGGAGTTCATGTCAATTCAAGAGAGAAATCAACATTTTGGTCCTACCACGAGATTTTGACTGAAAAGTATTAGAGTAGTTCAAAGATTTTGAAATTAAAAACAGAGTAGTTCAAAGATTTTGAAATTAAAAACTTATTTTTGAGAGAGATAGGTACCAAAATATAAAAATTAAAAATGGTTTTTGTGCTTCAAACTTAGTACGAGTGACAAGATAGCTTGTGCACAGCAAAAACAGCCGTTTAAAATTCTCTGATATGTGTATCTTTTCAATCTTTACGACTCGACAGCAACAAACACACTTGCTTAAGTTAATATATTGTTGATGGGGACTCTGGGAGCAAAGCAAAATATTCAAAGTGGTGATTAATACAAGAATGACTTGTTGCATAGCTTCAAAATGCTCACATCACAAACTCATAACCATTGAAACATACTCGTAATTCGAATGTATAATAAGACTAATGATCAGAAACAATATGACTTATCAGATGTTAGTCCATCTTTTGACTTGTAAAAGGCAGGCAGGCAAGGACATCAGCAGTCAACCAACTTTTCGGTTTTCAGAGAGTCGAGTTTATTGCGTGGAAGGCTATTCTGAATTTTGCACAATCAAGAACTATGTCAATTACTCAAAGACATTTTATTACATCGAGTGAACCTCTACAAGGATGGAGCCATGGCGGTTTGGACACTAAACACGTCATTTTTGAAACAAAATCATAAAAGCTTTCCATGCCCAAGTCCATACAATATAGATCCTGGTAATTGTATTCATTTGAAAATATTAGGTTACATGTTATAAACGGCTTCATCTAACTCTCTCTTTTCTAAGCCTTTCTAGTTCTTTCACCATTTGCCAGTGTTCCATGGATAGACTTGTCTCACCAAAGCTCAATGACATAAGTCTGCTCATAGTCAGCAATCTGGAAGCATAAATAATCAGATTTTTTAATTGCTGACTCGTTAAATAGTAAAAAGGAAAACAAATACTTCGACCACCTGATTAGTTATATACAGACCTGCTAAAATCTTGGCTCCCTAAGGTCCGGTCTGCTTGCCTAGCTGCGACTAGATCCTCTTCGACCACCTGATTAGTTATAAAAAATTTATCAGCTATGTATCTCTGTACTGCAACAGAAACAGAAAGACCAAAAAAAAGGCCTTGGAAAATGGTTCATCAAGATAAACCATCGTAACAAGTCATACCTTCTGCATTTCAGGACTAATCAAGTGTGATAGTGATCTCAGGAAGGCCAAATACCATCTCCAAGTCTGTAGAATTGCTTCATCTACAATTTCTGAGGAGCTGGTTGATGAAGGCTGAAAAGGAAGGACTAAATCGGCAGGCAGAATGTTGGATTTACCCTCAGATAGAACAAGCAGCTGCACGTCTGCTTTCATCTCCATTTTGTAGTACTGGAAATCATATTCAACCTGAAATATATTTTTTAGAGTGGGAGGAGGGAAGCAGAAATTGTGTTAAAGTGAAAATATTTTGATTCTCATTTAGCAGAACACACCATGCAGGAGGTGGTTGAAAAGTGCACATGGGTACACACTAAAATTTGAGGATTACCTGCTGCAATTCTGTCAAGTTCTTCAATGATCTTGCATTCTCAACTCCAGTCGGGTTCAGGGTCCCAGCCTGCAACAGCGTCTCATCAATGATCAAGTGTGACCCTTCTGCCAGCTGAAGAGCTCCAGGAACCAATCTGCCATCCAACCATAAAAAGTGTAAGGTAAAAAGAAAAATAAAAAGTCTGTATAAAACCAGAAGTGTGTAAAGGATAACTCTGCTTACTTATTTGCCTGGTAATCCTTTTTAGGGGCAAGTGAGGCACTGTTGAGATATTCAATTGCGAGAGGCATCTGCTTTGTAAATGGAAGAAGTTCCTTCATTGTGAGACCAAGACGTTTACTAAAGACGGATGCAGTTTCCTTGCTGAAGTTGGTGAAATTGAGTGAAAACTTCCCAACAGCTACACCATCAACTCTAGCATGCACCTGCAAGTAAGAAATGCCTAATAATGGATTTTGCAAACAAACAATTTTCTAAAAAACCAACTCTCAGAGCTACTAAAAGTCCTGCCAAATGCCAATCATGCAAAATCGGAAGGGAGGGAGGGGGGATCACAATAGCAGAGCAATATAACTTACCTGAGATAAGAGGTGCAACAGCAGAAATTGAGCTGCCACTCCATCATTTCCAAGGACAGCAGTGAGATGACTAAGCAGGCCTTCCCTTATTCCTCTAATCATTGACGGATTTGACTATAAAAGACAATTAGTCAGTTAAATACCCAACATGCATAAGAATCAGCAAGGAGAAGAAGATATCAAGCAAAAAGAGGACAAAGCCAATTACTTCTGTCATAGGTGAACCATCAACAAAATCAAGAGCCACAAGCTTCTGGTGTACAAGACAGTGGATACGAGGTACCTGTTAAGGAAAATAGTTAGTCACATGAACCAGTTCTCATTACAAACATTATACATGTCACCAAACTGTCAGACCGTTTATTAATTTATAACAAAATGTCGAAAATTAATGAAAGTCTACAGTTTTTAGGGATAGTTAAGATATAAGAAGAGATTAAGTAAATCACGATTAAGTTGGAAATCATATTTGTTAGGACTGTTACTAAACAAATTGGGGTAGTTATACCAGCCGAATAACTTCATTCTGTAAGTAGTTACGTTAATTGTACAAAGCAAGCATGGAGGTTTTTTATATAAAATTAATAACACCACGACTCACACCCAGGAATTTGTGCAAACCTTGCTAGGGGGTAATTGAACCAAGTCATCTTCATAAAGGTCATTTGACTGCATATCAGACTCATCCTTGTTTAATGATAACTCTGGATCATAGTTCAAAACTCCGATAAACTCAAAAATCTCATTCAGTTTTAAATCAGACTCCGGGGAATCATAAACCTGCCCATGAAAAAATTAAATAGAAAGTTACTCCTTTGGTAAGGAAAACATTCGTGATGATAATTCAAGGATCAAGAAGCATACCTTAACCAAACAAGGAAAAGAATTTATCTCGGAATCAGGTGGTCCAAAGGAAGGAGTGGTTCCTTCCTTCACAGTGTCTTGCTGCATTGAAGATGAGGAAGGATGCCCCTCTTCCCTCTGTTGTTAGAAATACATAATCAAACAGATCAGCAAAGTCTCACAAGCTCTCATAGGAAAGAAAAAAAAAAAAAGAGGTGCTCCAGCTACAGAAAGATTCTAAAGTTGTGATTGTTTCATAATGATCATGCAGATTATATTTTAGCAAAACCATTAGAGTAAGGGTATTCAATGCCACTCTATGATGGCTAATTTGCTATAGGTAGTGGTACTACAACACAATCACAATGTAAGCCTTGAAGGCATTGGCCTATTCATTTTTACTCAATCAAGTCTCCTTTCATCTTATAAAAGATAAAGGTTCCTATAAGTATAACTCCGTTGCAGCTAGAAAAATTTAACAATAATGCGGCAAAGGTAATGCTTAAGAGTGAATAACAGTGTTCTAGTAGACCAGCAAAATACAAGACGTTTTCTACTTACCATCTTTTTAGTAATCGGAGAATCCTCACAGTCTTGATTTGATCCCTGCCAAGGAAAAAAAAAAAAATCAATTGCATCATATCAGCAGATCACAATTGAGACAACATATGGAAATTAAGAGTGCATGACCTTCAAGAGTCAGCACAAAGTAGTTATCATTCTCATCAGTTAAACATGCCTACATTAGCACGTGACATTATGCAACAAAACTATAAAAGATCAAACCATGATGTTAGTATTCTGTTAGGATACTTCTTGTAGTCTTCAGATAGGATGGTGTTTCGAACTTTCGAGTGAAACATTTTTTAATTAAAATCATAAAAACAGCAATGCCTTTGCCCGTTAACAGCTACTTGTACTATGGAATAATGATTCCTATCATAGTATCATAGGATAGGACTATGACGCAACACAAACATTTCGAATACGTCAAAAGCCTTACCAACTCCATATGATCAACAGTTTCATCATCATCATCCCTTGGACGCTTCTCCCTTTGCTGAGTAGCAAAATTCCTTTGCTGATTCGACAAAGCTTCCACAGGTTCTGCCCATGAATTCAGCCCCGGTACCTAAATATATTCACAAAATAATAAATAATTGCTCCCGAAAAATTACATTTCCAGCTTTTATACTCATCCAAATTAAGCACCAAAGAAGATTACTAATCCCTCCAATCCATAAGAAAAATGTAGGTTATTACAAGTCAATTATTTTTGATCCGACATTTCATGTCACTCTACAATATCACCAATTTTTAAACATGAATGTCATCTTAGTGCCATTTATTAGACTAATTCAGTTTTAACTTGATAAAACCAAGTTAATTTTTAATTTATAAGAAACATGTTAAGAATATTTTGGATAAATAGAGTACAAGTATAGCCCTTAGGGGCAGGGCGTGGAACTCAAGACATAGGATCAAATGGCGACTAAATCATCATAATATCAATCAAATTCCCATCTTTCATCAAGACATCAATCCTCAAACAAACAATAAACTTACAGGAACACAATAAAGAAAAACAAAAGCATAATTAAGAAATCATAAATAGAAAATGAAAAAGGAAAACTCACAGGAACGCAGTAGAGCAATCGACGCTCCCAAAACTTCATATCAGGGGACATATCCATTTCAAACTGACAAACATCTGAGAATTTGTTGGTCCTCCAAGTTGAACCATCCTTCAAATTACACCAACAAATAAACAAAATAACATTAATTTCCACAAATTACACATTTAATTTCATCAAAATCCCTAATAAATTACTAAACTTACTACCTTGTAAGCACCAACATAAACTTCATTTCCCAGCATATCTTGAATCATCCCTCGAAATCGAACCAACGAATTCGCCAGTAAATACTTAACACTCGCCGCATTTAAAATCGAACCTATAAATTCCCCAAAAAAAAATCAAACTTATTCATCGAAAACCCTAGAAAATTGATTAATTGAATTAAAATCGAAGAAATGGGTACCTGAGAAAGACCACCATCATCGAAGAGGAATTGACGGAAAAGATCAACGGCGCCCCAATCGGCGGCGGTGGAGGTGGAGGGGTTGAGGCCGGAAGAAACGGCTTTTTCGAAGGTTAATCGGACGGCTCCGAGAGGATTAGCGAGGCAATCGTACGGTAATCCTACCATTTTTGAGCTTGATCTTTGATTTTCTCTCTCCTCGATAATTTTTTCAGGGAAATGTGTGTTAAGTGGAGTGGAGATGGAGGGAGTGCGGCGGGAGTGTAAGTAGGTGGGATTTTCCCGCCAATTTCTAGGGGTTCAGGATTCCCGCCAATTTTACGGATATCTAAACGCTGCGTATTTGAACTGAAACGCGTCGTGTGTTTAGTTTATGGAGAAAATGTGAATGTGAATTTATGGGCATTAAAGATTCAACGGTTGGCCTTGTTGGGGGGTAAATTACTAAATTGAGCCATTGGTGGAGGTTGTGCTTGTGTAGTTATTAATTCGGCTCGGGTGGATTTTACAAGGCTACATGTCGTTCTCGTGTCAATTTTAAAAGAATAGAACTTCAGCACAAGCTCACAACCAAATGCATGAGTCGAGTCGTGTTATGTCGTATCATTTCAAGTCATTTCGTGTTAATTGTCATTTTTACTACTTTCATCACAAATTATTCGCAACAATTGGGTATTGTATTTATACATGGCACATGGTCTAATGGTATGCCTCTAGCTTCCTGATGTGTTGTGTCTTGCTTGTGCTAATGAGTTGGGAGTTGCGTCACTTGCGTGTGTCACGAGTCACGACATTCTCGTACTGGTTTGGGCCAAATTCATGTTGGGCTTTTCTATACCAAAACCCAATGGCCTTGAATAAGCCCATCTTAAAGTGGTCTCCCACTCTCCCCTATGCTTTTTCGAAAAAAATAATAAAAACAAAAAAAAAGGTACCCTCTTGTTCAAGAAACGAAGACGAACAAATTAACCAATGTTTTAGCACAGAGTATCCAGTTATTCAAGTAGAAGCATAAACACACAGAAAAGAAATTTGAAGTATTAATCTCCCAATATTGTAAGTTTATTTCTTTTTCCGTCATTTTAATCATCCAATCTAGGTTTTATTCCTCTGATTTCGACGATTAATGCTCATAATTAATTGTAGTTTTCTTTTGCTTTGATTTTCAATGTATGTATAACCGATTCAGATGATAATCTTGAATAAGATGAAGGCCTCAAATTATAATCCAGTTAGCTTAAAATATTTAATTTAGCTTGATAACTGTGAGTTTGTATTGGGTATTTCTTAAATGTAATTTCTTCGGATTTAGTTAAATTTGATGAGGAGTTGAAATTTTAAAAAGTGTAATCCAATTTAGCTTGACAATTTTGAATTTGATTTGGGTGTTTCTTAAATGTCATTTCTTTGGATTTCGTTAAATTATTTAGAATTGAATGTTTGAGTGAATGTGTGAATCTGGATCATCTAAAAATTGATTTTTGTTTTGTGGGGTTTTAATCTCTTTTTTTTGATTGATAAGTATATGTTTTTTTTTTGTTAAGAAATGCTGTACTTTTTGTTAATTTGGTGTTGTGACTTGATTGATCATTAATGGATGAGAAACAAATGTTGTGTAACTTTCATTTGAATGTGATGATTAAGTCATAATTTTTTCAATGCCTATGGCAGTGAATCATGTCTCGGAGATATGATAGTCGGACTACCATTTTCTCGCCGGAGGGTCGGCTTTACCAAGTCGAGTATGCCATGGAGGCGATTGGGAATGCTGGAAGTGCCATAGGTATTTTGGCTAATGATGGGGTTGTTTTGGTTGGTGAGAAGAAGGTCACTTCTAAGCTTCTTCAGACCTCCACTACTACTGAAAAGATGTATAAGGTTGATGATCATGTAGCTTGTGCCGTGGCTGGTATTATGTCTGATGCGAACATTCTGATAAACACAGCTCGAGTCCAAGCTCAGCGTTACACCTTTTCGTACCAAGAACCGATGCCTGTTGAGCAGTTGGTCCAATCTCTGTGTGATACCAAGCAAGGTTACACGCAGTTTGGTGGGCTTCGCCCTTTTGGTGTTTCCTTTCTCTTTGCTGGATGGGACAAGAATTATGGTTTCCAGCTTTATATGAGTGATCCGAGTGGAAATTATGGTGGGTGGAAAGCTACTGCAATAGGAGCTAACAATCAAGCTGCACAATCGATGCTTAAGCAGGACTACAAGGATGATATCAACCGCGAAGATGCTATTGAGCTTGCATTGAAGGTCCTCAGCAAGACGATGGACAGCACAAGTCTGACCTCGGAGAAGCTTGAATTGGCTGAAGTTTATCGTCTGCCTTCTGGAAAAGTAAAGTATCAGGTACACTCTCCAGAATCCTTGACCAAGTTGTTGGCTAAATCTGGACTGAGTCAAGCTGCCACAGAAACCCCTTGAGTCAATGTACTTCAAGTGTCATTCATGTCATTAAGATCCTTGCATTGTCAGATACTATAATGTAGCCTTTATTATATATGACTTTGTTATAAATCTGTCTCTGTTAAACTTTGATCTAGAATGAAAAAAGCACACTCTGCATCTGCTAGCTATTGCTTTATGTTGTAATTCTTGGAGCAATTGGTCATTGTTATTCCTTGCACCACTAATATTGATCAAACTAGGTGACGAGGGCTCTGAAAGGTTTTCAGTTTACTTATGTTGCTTACTATGTTTTTCCATGAGCAATCGTTTCTAGCTATTATTGGGCATTGATACTTATCATATGATGCCCTTGTGTTGACCTTTAAGATGAAAGGGTTACCAAGGTCTGTTTCTTCCATTACGTATCCATCTGTTTTCAGTTCTTCACACATACACTTTGCCAAATTCTTATGTTCTGCCTTGCAGTCATTCTTAGCTAGCTACAATTGGTAACAGATAATTTAGTAATAATTTGCTTTACTGTTTATCAAACTCAATCCTGCATAATTGCACGTCGTTACCTAAATCCTAGGATCCCTTGTAGTTCTGGTAAATTTACTGTTTGTGACAATTATGACTGTAATTTATAGTTTGTTGCTGATGTTGCTATTCGCCTATTCCATTTGCAGTATATGATTTGCATCAGTGATTTCTTAAACCGATATATTAACTATATCAACTTTACTTTGAGCTGTTTTGATGCGTGCCATATACTTAAATGTTATCAGATTCTGATTTCTGTACTGAGATTATTGGTGAAAAATTATGTGTTCATCACCTGTCCTTCAGCTAATGACAGTGATAAGTGTTAGCATATCTGTCGCACAAGTGATCCTGGGTTAGGACCCTATTCGATACGAATATTGCAAGTGTCCCGACTCTTGAGACCCAGACCAACCAGCTGCCTCCATTCGGGTCAACCTACGCAACCTGAATTTGCAGCCTAAAGTTTGATCAGCTCCAATACTCCGTATATTGTAGCCTAATTGTCAATGAAGGTCTAAACCAATAGTAGTCTTTTTATTTCACAATATAATACAACCATCAAAGTTTGTAGCACACAAATGGATTAAGTTATTATAGCTAAATGCGAGCACGTTTAAGAAATTCAGTACTGAATTACTGATACATTATGTATAGAACAATGAGTAGGAAATTACATACAAGTATACTCGATATATTGCTATGCTATTATCTTAAACAAAATTCCGAGCCAAAATTAACAGCTCCAATTACCTAGAGAAGAGATTAGTAAAGAAGTTGCCAGAATTCTTTTTCTCAAGGCAAGCTACATGAGCATATCTCCCAAACTTGTCCTTTTGCCTTTCTTCACCTGCTGTATCTTTCTTGCACACCTTACATGTTTTGTCCACCCAGCCTTCCTCCACATATTGCCCATCCACTGTATGATTAAAAAAAAAAAAAAAAAAAAAAAAAAAAACACCAAGAATAAGTAAAGAATACGGCGAATTGCCAAACAGTTACACATCTAACAGGGGCGGAATGTTGATAGTGTCGTTTAGATTTTAACTGCAACTCGCTATGTAAGGTTACTTAGGCTGCTTTGCCGAATGTTAGTTACCTAATAAACTAGCTAGATAAGCTTTGATGGCTTAGGATTGCAAGATGTACATACCTTCGACATATGACTTGAAGAAATCCTTGTACGTTCCTCCAATTTTCCTCCGAAGAGCACCATACTGCATCAAAGAAACCGAAACAGTTTAGAATCATAAACAGTTTATGCATCAAAGATGTACATACCTTCGACATAAAAGTAATAACAACATAATCCCAAGGAGAAAAAATTGTAAGGTGATCCCAGATTGGTACCTGTTCCCTATTCATCTGTCGACCTGAGCTGGTAGTTTCCCTAGCTTCCTCAATAAGCTGAGCATCTTCTGCTGACCTTGCTTGAGCAAAATCCAAAGCATCGGTGACACTCGTAAACAAAGATTGCTTCTTCTTCTTTGGCTGCTGCTCCTTTTCGTCTTCTTTTTTCGCTGAGACTACTCTTAATATGTTGCTCTGTCTATAATTATGTCTGCGCATGGTTTGTGGAGCTATGGATGATTGGAGGATCCCATTCTGAGAAGATGATAGGGGCAAGGTTCTGAATCCCATTTATGGTTTTTCTTCTTTAATATTTTTGTAAAATGAAATGCAAGTAATAATTTAGAGAGTAGAGAAATAGAGAATATATATACGTGTAATGGTATGTTGAACTATGTTACTTTAGGAATTTAGCAGCATAATTTTGTGGGGTTTGTAAGTTGAGGTAGCTATGTGACAAGAGCCACATACTGTAAGAGATTAGTTACCACTCAGAAAATATGGTTTAGAAAAAGAGAAGACGTGGCTCTTCAGTTTGCTAGTCAATTGGGAGGATTTGCGTCAAATTCTTTTGTGTACCATGTCTTTTTGCAACTTTGCAAGCCTCTACCAAGGATAGTCGTGTGGTTTATCTTAGAAGCGAAATTTTCCGTCCGTGTTCAAAAGAAAAATTTTCCGGACAAGTCCGAACTAGTTAGACAACTAATAGAGGTAGACTTGGATTAAGGGCACTATTGACATATTTGCCTCTTTTAAGTTGTCTAAACTGTGAAGCAATTAGCCGTACTTTTATGATATGGTATGATATTTCTAAATTTCTACGTTCTTAATCATGATTATATCATTCACTCTCATTAGGGACATATACTGAAGTAAAACCATCAGAAGACTAACTGTACAAAGCATTTCTTCTAAGTAGACGAGACATGTCCTTAACTTCTCTCCTTATGTGACGATGCACAAAATCAGCCTCATACTCGCTCTCATTTCATATGTATTAACAAAACTGATTGTAAGTAAAGCTAATTACACAGCATAATCTGAGTCTCAAACAACATAGACCATGCCAACCTCAAGGAGAGACACTGGTGGCACCCGGAGTGCAACATCAGGCCCCCTGCAGTTCCTTCTAAGAAAATTATACCCAAAATTAATGGCAATCCTCTTAAGAAAAGATGATCCTTGTTTAGCTCTGACATGGGAATGCCCTATTATAAAAGCACTCCCAGCTTGCTGAGCATCCCATAGATCATCTAATTCTTGCAGCTTCTGAACTTCTCTTTCATCACTTGACCATGCATCATCGGTGAATCTCACTCTTTGTTTGACAGGCGCCATCTCCATGATGTCCCCCATGCTGTTAACTGTAGGCAATCCAATGGACACGCTTGCTGGTTGTGGGTTTTCATCAATCTCATATGGAGGTTCACGGGAGTATCTGATGGTCTCCGTCATAGCTAACCTACATCCATCATTTAATCGAGCCTCATCATATTGAAGGGACTGTTGGCCTTCCCCTTGTTCCTGGGCCCAATCATAACGGATGAATTTATCCAACTTAGTAGCAAGCTCAGACTCAAAGGAATCAACGTCTTGGTGGACATCACGGTACCCATAACGGATTATGCATCGATAGGAACGATGATTTGAGGGGCCAACACGGCTAATAAGATATCTCTCAGCTGGGGGAATGTAGGGAACAGGAACAGACTTCACACAGACAAAGACCAATATCTTGTGGAATGCAGGGAGATTTGTGACAAAGCGAGAGAAGTTAGCTGGGATGCCAGAAGTGAGGTCAGTGAAGACCATGCCAATGCCTGGGACCCGTGATATTCCTAAGCTCGGGCCTAAGGCTAGAAGCCATTCCAAGGAAACTTTGTTGTGGAGGTCAAATTCATACTTTTTGATGGTGGCGTAGTGCCATACAAACATGATGGCCATCAGAATGAGAGCTAACAGGATTGGAAGCCAGGCTCCCTCAGAAAATTTGACCAGAGAAGCTGAGAAGTAGAGGATTTCGATTGAACCAAAGAAGAGAAGGAAACAAAGAGCTAATATGGGAGGTTTATGCCAGCATAAAACAATGACCAGGGACATTAGGCATGTTGTCACCAACATCACTGTCATCACTGCTAAACCTGCAGGGCAGATAAGAATTTGAAGTTTCTCAATATACCAAGTAATAAGGCTCTTATCCCATCCCAAATTTTAATTGAAAATATATATGGAGAGAAAAGTTTAACAAGAGTCGCAAATGTGAAGATTAAAGTACCTGATGCATTTCCCAAGTGTTTCGTATCTCTGAATCCTATTGTAACAGCAATACAGAGGACCATCAGTATCCAGTTGATTTCAGGAATGTATATCTGGCCATGTATCTTATCTGACGTGTGAACAACCTTGACTCGGGGGAAGCAACCAAGTGATTGGCTTTGGTTAATGATTGAGAATGTCCCGCTTATAATTGCTTGACTTCCCACAACTGAAGCAAGAATAGCTACCAGAATCACTGGCCATTTGACCTTTTCTGCACCCAAAAGTTTCCGTGTCATAGCAACCAAATTAGTTTGGACTTTGGAACCAACATAGTACATAGTAATACAGATTGCATTAAAAATAAGGTACCTGGAATAGAGAGGTAAAAACTGATTGCATCAGAATTCTCATGATGCATTGACAAATAAGCAGCTTGACCCATATAAGCTAGTATGAGGGTTGGATATACCAGAAAAGTGAAAGCAATCTGCAAGAATTGGTGGATCAGAATTTCTGTTTGTAGCTGAGTGCATTAAGTTCCAGACTAACCATAGACATCAGACATGATGCTGAAAATGACTGAACGAACAGTCAAACAAGGAGGTTACGATATGTACCTGAATTGCCATGTAAGAGAAGTGTCCTAAATCAGCAAACATTGCCTCCGAACCTGCAAAGAGGACAGTTAGAAACCTGTTGTGTAAACTTAAAGACTCAATTCGGTTATAAACAAATACAAAGTATTAGGAGACTAGAAATCTTTTTTTTTTCACTGCACAACTCAGGGTCGTTAATTCACTGATGGTAGGGGTGTGAATGAGAAATTGGTTTGAAAAGAGTCTTCGTAAAGATTGAAGGTATGGCGAACCCTAGACTGAGTGATAATAGACATAGTGCTTGAGTAAACAAGATAGTAAGTTTACCTGTAATGCAGAGCAGCACACCTCCTAAAGACATCCATCCACTTATCGTAGTCTTCTTCAAGAACTTGTACATGTAATATGGTGAAATAGCTCGATAAACTTGTGGATTCCAATGGAGAATATTATATAACCCCAGACCACTTATGCATAGTAGCCAGATCAAAACTATAGGTGCAAAGACGAAGCCAACTCGATGTGTTCCATAGTGTTGAAGAGCAAAAAGGCAGACTAAAATGAAGCATGTGATTGGGATCACAGCATCTGCAAAAGAAAGTGTAACAAAAACATCATTAAGGTGTTGAACTTGGAAGTCCAAAAGCTCTATTCAAATAAGGCTGGAATTCCTTTTTGCTATTAAAATGAGATCCTTGGTAATAAAACAATGCTGCACTTGTAAACACTACAAAACTTGCTCATCAAATAGCATTATACTATACTCCCTTGTTCCTAGATAACAGAAAACAATTCTATAATATCTATTATCGGCAGTCCCAAAACAATAGATCACTTCCTAAGCTTAGGATATCAAAATTTTCCTTTCCCATATTACCCTTAATGAAAATTAGAATAGGAATTTTAATGAAAGAACAAAGACTATAGGGAAGGATTAGTTGTTCAATTTAACTCGTATTCTTAAAAATGGCTCTCAATTAAATGTGAAATTATTTAGGGACGATGAAAGGATCAGATATTCAGATGCGTCCTCTTAACGGGTATTGCAGCATGCTAACAAAACCCAACTTTGATTTTTTAATTAGAAATCCTGAGAATTAAGTCCTCAAAATTTTCAAAGAATAGTCATAGGTGTGTCAGCCCATGCTATCTAGTAAGTATCCACCACAATGTGTATGCATGTCCACATATATTATCACCACTCAAAGTAGTGGGCACACTAACACCTATACCGACACAATTGAACATCAAAGGAACACAAACCATCCCAAAGCAAGAGGGCACAATCCACATTTGATTTGATTTTTTCCAGTCAAAATACATATAATTTTGATCATTATGTTGTATGATGTAAATTTTAAATTTATGTATGATGTAATAATTTACAAGAGCATTACTTAAAATTAACTTCCATACGGTTTTTGCTTATTTTCAATCATGTGAAAGAAGACTGTCCTAAACTCCTAATACAAACTATATAGTATAACTCTATGTTCTCTATCCCAGGGAAAATGCCAATCTAGTTGTTTGATGCTCCAGTTCATTATCAAAATCTAAGAAGATACTCCTTCAATTATTGCTCTGATTTCGTAGGCGACTTGGCTGTGTTTATTGAAAATTCTTGGACAGGGTCTCATATCTTTCATAAGGACTTCAATTTCTGATCCAAAATGGGAAGAACACTAGGAAGAATTAAGAAAATGATGTACTAATTGATTAAAACGTAGACCACAGGTTTTGCAGCATATATGATAGGTGGAAAATACATTTTCAACAGTCTTTTTCAATATCAATAAAATTCAGAATGCAGACTATACATCAATTTAAGCCAAGTCCCTGGTCAGCTAATTATCACCTATCTTGATCCAGTGGACCTTCCAACAAAAAATTCAGAAAAAATAACACGAGAATAACAATGACGAAGATTCAAAGACAAGTTGCATATGTGCCTAACAGAAACAACTAAGCTAAGACAATCCAGTACTATAAAACGTAGGAAAATATTGACTGGAAAGTAATTCGTCAAAATTAGATATATGTCAAATTAAATAGGGCATTATGCATTTTTCAATGTCATGCTCCTTGTAATTTCCATTGCAAAGGCGAACATTCAGCATGAGTATGCAGACTAGTAAATCAGCCGGAAGAGCTTTGAAGGCTTACATTGGTGATTCTCAGGGGACATCAAAGACTCGAGGCCGGAAACAGCAGTGAAAACTACATTAAAAGAGCACACAACATAAGCAGGGGAGAAAATGGGAACCTGAAGAACTAATTAACCACTCAAATTGAAGAAGATTAAATTATATTATTTCAGTGCAAACTCTCTTCAAAGTCATTCATTTAGCAAAATTAAGGCAATTGTTTCCGAACAAAATAAAAAATAAAAAAAAAAAAAAAACTGTTTCGAGTATTCTCACTTGTGCATTCTTGATGAAATAAGAAACCTCCATACTTCTTTCGAGACAAACATGGAAAACTCATTTTGTAAACATTCTAATCCAACAAACTTACACTAGAAGGAATGTTCAGAGAGCCAAATTACACCCAATATCTATGTTCAGACATAAATGTGTCAAACAGTTAAACTCAGCTATTTCATTTTAATT